AAAAAAAAAAAAAAAAAAAAAAAAAAAAAAAAAAAAAAAAAAGCCAGTTTCATTTCCTCCCATCCTGGGAAGTGGTGGGGTGACCACCTAGGCCTTGTGCTTGGGTTTCCAGATGTGAAGCGAGGCTTTTCTTGCTGTGGTATTTGGAAGGAGAGCATGGGCTTACAGAGATGGTCCATACCCCCATCCCCACCCCTGCCTGCCTTGCCATGTGCTCTGGCTTTAGCCGCTAAGCTGAGTCACCCTCCTTGCCCCACTTCTTGCTGCCTACAGCCAGACTTGAGCTGGGTTGGCTTGTGGAGAGGAGCCCACCAGAGTCCGAATCTTAGATCCTTGAGAGTCGTCACTGGGGATCCAGGTAGGAGCAGGGCAGACTGAATACCCAAGAGGGCCAGAGAGCAAGAGAAAGTAAGGAAGGAGAAAGGGTGGAGCAGAGAGGAAGAACAGAGGATGCAGTGTGATGGAGAGGAGCAACCTGAGGGGAGGAACCATGCTATGGCTGAGGACAGAGGGGTGCAGACCCAGGTAGCTTCAGAATCCCAGAGACTGTGGGGCCAGCATGAGATAAGTATGCTGGCTCCTGCTGGGTCCGGGCTATGGGCTCCTCTGCTGATCCCAGTGTACAGCACATTGGTCTGTGGGGCACTGACAGCAACTTAGAACCGGGGGCATTAGAACTTTTGATACAGGTCATGGGGAAAGGTTTCTATCTCAGGCAGGGGTTTCCAGACCCTCCCACCTCAGCTGTTTGGCGGGGTCACTTGAGATGAAAGCAGGTTTTGGCCTGAGACCTCTCATGTCAGCCCTTGCTGTATGTCTTTGGGCCTTCCCTTGCTCTGTGTGAGCTGAGGGGAGCGCATCTCTGGAGGTATGTGAAGGACATCTCATTTTGGAGCTTCAGGCTGTCTCCCAGTGTGAGTAAGAGTGGGGTTATGGGATAGCCCTGACTCACGGGGCAAGCTGCTGACTCAGAGGCATCTGAGACAGCAGGGAAAGCCACCTGACTAGAGAACCTAGCTACACGCTACTACCTCTCAGGAGTCCTGGCTTTAGAGGACACCCCAAACTGGTGACACCCTTCTCTCCTGGCTGTGGCAGGCATGGAATGAAAAAAATATCCTAATCTTCCCAAGAGAACAAAATTCACATTCCAGACAAGACTTTCTGTGTCCGAGATTGCCTTTACCCTGGTCTTGGAGGACAGGAGCCCCAACTCCCCATTTCAGCATGCTTCTTAAGGACTTTGGGTGTATGACACCCCCTCAGACCTCAGTTTCTCCATGGTGAATGGGACTGTCAAGGCCACCAAGAGTAAAGCCACCTGGTAGAGCCGTGGCTGCCATTTACCCAACAGTTGGTATGCCAAGGCTGACTGTAGCATGAACATTTTCTTCTCGTCCCATCTCAGTCCAGGTGAGACAAGAATTCCAAGCGACTTTCCCAGTGTGGTCACTGTGCTAGACTGACAAGGAAGTATGATCTGGTTGCTTTCCATATCAGCTTCCGCGGTAGCTGGAAACCCAATTCTTATCTCCTGAATCCAGGCCTTTCAGGATCTGTGTCCCCTAAAGAATGAGTTAAAAGTGCTGGGTAGAAGGGGGAGCTAAATGACCCATAGTGTCACTAGCATCAAAGGGGGTACACTGCCAAGCACAGCCCGAGGAGTGCCCATCAGAGCCCCAGGACCTCTATGCAGAAGGGATTCTTGACTTCCATAGAACAACAAGTTTCAGGACAAGTCAAAGTGCAACAAAGTCAGGGAGTTCACTGACAAGGCCAAAGAACTTGAAGAGAGTCGTGTGAGCACCAAAAGAACACACATGAAGGGTTCAGCAGCAGCTATGGAGTTACACTGTTTAAGGTAGGCAATTCATAACTGAGGCTGAGGGAGAAGAAAAATGTGTTGGCCTATTCACATCTGAAAGCATTTTTATATTAGTGAATCGAGTCACAGGATGATTCATGAGGCTACTTCCTCGGACATACACTCAAGGAAAAACTTCAGCTCAGACAAAAATCTTAGATAATTTCCCCCCAACAGAGACAGGTTTCTGTGTTTAACAGTCCCGGCTGTCCTGGAACTCACTTTGTAGATCATGCTGGCCTTGAACTCACAGAGATCCACCTGCTTCTGCCTCTGCTGGGATTAAAAAAAACTTTTTAAAGATTTATGTGTACAGCATGTGCGTGCATGCGTGCGTGCGTGCGTGCGTGCGTGCGTGCGTGTGTGTGTGTGTGTGTGTGTGTGTGTGTGTATTATTTGCATGCAGAACCCACAGAGGCCAGAAGATGGCATCAGGCTCCCCTCCCCATAACTGGAGTAATGGGCCATCTTGAGCTGTTCTATGGATGCTGGGAACGAGCAGAAATTCTCTCTCTCTCTCTCTCTCTCTCTCTCTCTTCCCTCCTTCCTCTTTCTCTCTCTCTCTCTCTCTCTCTCTTTCTCTCTCTTTCTCTCTCTCTCATCTACCTTTGCTCCCAGGAGTGACCTAACTGGGGCAGCAAGGGAATGAAGAAAAGGCAGACACACAAAACTAGCTGGGATTGGTGGTCTAAGCTGATTTCAGTGGGAGCAGTCTCTGTAGGGAACTGTCTTTAGGTGGTAAACATCCATGGAAGAATAATGGACGTTTTCTGCACATGTGGTCAACATCCACACTAGAACTGGAGGAACTAGAGGAAGGCCTCACCAGGTCTAAAGCTGTTGGGCCTTTGACATGGCCGTGCGCATGTCAACAACACACATTCACTCAGGCTTTCATACACCCAGGGCTTCCTCTGCTCTCACAAATGATGTTTTCATTTTATGTGTTATGGGTGTTTTGTGCATGCAGTGCCTGCAGAGGGCAGAAGAGGGTGTTAGATCCCCTGGAACAGATGGTTGTGGGTTGCCATGTGGGTGCTGGGAATTGAACTTGGGTCTTCTGCAAGAGCAGCTAATGCTCCTAACCACTCCCTCCAGCCCCGCAGATCGAATCTTAGAAATTAAAGTAGTTTTGCTTTACACAGGCTCCACCAAGAGATTAAAACATGTGTTTTTATCCCAAACATGTCTTTCCAGCTGTGTTTATAACCTTGTTTGTGGTATTCTTAGGAAGGGCTGAGAAGGGCCTATAGTTCTGCATACGGTTTCTGTGTAGGGAAGTTTCCAGTCTGTATGCAGAAACTCCTGACTCAGGCTGCAAGAGGTCAAGTGGGGGTGGGGGTGACTCTTCCTTGTATGTGCCTAGCCTTTTTCCATATTTCTATCCAGTCTCATTGGGGTTGGGTAAGAATAATGAAAAATATTTGGAGACCGGCTTGAATCTCCAAGGACTATTTGGGCCCCTGCTTCTCAGCCTCACCACACAGGAAAAATAAGTGAGCTGGAATTTTCCTCCCAGACACATGAGCCACTTGGACCATTCAGTTCTTCCACAGTTCACTCTCAGCCAGGGGTCCCTTTTCCTGGAAAAAGAAGGAAATACTGAAGAACACTGTTTCTGTGGGGCCCCTTCATGCCCTGATAAAGTGTTCCCAGCCCCTATCAACACCCTTTCTCTGGATTAGGGCCCTTGTTTTTCTGAGTATATTGTTCAGGTTTGCATCAACTAATTCCTTTTGTGAAAGTGTTTTAAGTTTATAATTATTAGAGACTTTACACCACCACAATCGATCCCTCATATGTTTTTATGGTTTAAATTTGCTAACAGTTTAAACACTTACTCTCTCTGCTTAGTTACTCTGTGGATAGGAAATTATCTTATGGAAATTCTTTTTCCTCATTGCAAAGTTTAGTTACATTTATCTAGGATTTTTCCTTCTTTGTATTTACATTAACAATTTTGCTTTGCACATAATTAAGCTATAATCATTGTTGAAGCTACCACTAGCATTTTGCACCTTTTTTGTTTTTCTTTACAGTGTTGTAATTCAGGGGAACATACAGACATAAATCATCCATCCTGAGAGCCACATGTGGTTTAAAGCATCCCCAGGCTCTCAGGTAGTGACTGATGAACACATACATGTTTCCAACTTCCCAGTTATAAATCATGCTTGAACAATGACTTGAAACATGCTTATGTTTACACATTTGTGTGTTTGTTTCCTTAGGATATATCTCCATCCATAATTACTAATAGAGAGGATAACTATTTAAAAATATAAGAGAGGAGGCACACACCAATAATCCCAGAACTCACGAAGTGGAGGTAGGAGGGGCCATTGTAGCAAGACCATGTCTCTGTCTCTCTCTGTCTCTCTCTGTCTCTCTGGTAACTGGCATTGGATATGGTAGCCTTACACCTGTAATCCCAGCACTCAAGAAGTGAAAGCAGGAGGGTAGCAAATTCTGTACTAGTTGGAGCTTCATAGAGAGACTCTGTCTTCTAGCAAACAATAACATCAAAAAGTTACTGGAACTTGAAATCTGTGCTCTTAGCACCTGGGCTTTTGAGATAAGGTCTCGTGCAGCTCTTGCTGGCCTACAACTTTCAATGTAGCTGAGAATGACCTTGAACTTCTGATCCTTCTGCCACACGAAGTGCCACACTCCACTGAACGTTCCCTTTAAAGTACACGAGGTTAGAGCTAAAGGAATGGCTCTGTAGTTAAGAGACCTTGTTGCTCTTACAGAGGATCCAGGTTTGGCTCCCAGGTTTGGCCCACATGGTGGCTCACAGCCATGCATCATAACTCCGGGTCCAGGGGACTCAATGGCTCCCATGGAGCACTGCCATGCACATGGTGCACAGACACACACGCAGACAAAACACCCATATATGTAAAATGAAAAACAAATACACCTTTTTAAAAGAAAAAGAATTACAATGCACAAAGTCATAGTGCTACTAGGAAACTGAAGGTAAAAATCTGATGGGCATGGTGGCATACACCTTTAATCCCAGCATTTGGTAAGTAGAGGCAGGTGGATTTCTGTGAGTCTGA